GAGGAGAGGAGAGGAGAGGAGAGGAGAGGAGAGGAGAGGAGAGGAGAGGAGAGGAGAGGGGCACGAGCCATTTCTATTTCCACCCCCAGCAACAGCACTACCAGAACGGATCCCCAGAGGATCCCTGACAGTGCTCCAAGTCCAACCCCCGCCTCGCCCTCAGAACAGCAAGAGGTGATGCAGGGCTGGAGGGAAAGGAGGGCCAGAAGCCATCTGTGGCGGCCCTGAAACTCCCCCGTTGCTCTTCCTGCCAGTGGGGCAGCCACATAATCAGCCTTATTGCTGACCCACGGGAGAAGGGAGGCTGCGCTTTCTATGGGGATACCCTTTCCTCCCATTAACAGGAGCACCAATCCCTCAGATACCTGAGTCTTCCATTCCACCCTTCAAGCTGTGCAGGAAGAAACTAACTGTATTTATAATGTTCTGGTAGTCTGTGGTAAAAGGAAGTACAGGAGGGTTGGAAACATCTCCAAAATAAAATACTGGCAGAACGGTCACACGCTTCCAATAATTTAAAAGGTGGTTACACAGGGAGCCTTTGGCTGAGCCAAGAGCAGGGCCAGGCTGGCAAAACCTGCTGTTGATGAAGCACTTTTGACCTGTGCAGGTAGAGGCATTACCTAGGGTAGGTAAGGTCAGTACAAGCATACTTGTACTTTTGCAAATATGTGCGTTGTGCAGGCTGCTATTTGACTCCAATCCTTTGATTTGCTAATGATATTGGAAAGGCTACAGCTTGTACAACATCAAACACATTTATCTTGTTCTTCATATATTCAAAGATTTTATGCTTGACCAGATTCAAGTTTGTGTTTTTGTTAAATGTTAAAATTACAGCTCAATAAAACAAAACACAGAAATACTTATCTGAACCGAGTTATGGAAACATCTTTATGACGCCTGGGGCCCTTTCTCCACCCTGTTATCTTCTCCAAGTCACCGATTTTGGAGGCAGAAAACTCAAGGAGGGTCATGCCCCAGCCTACCTCAATCCGGCCCGTGTCTGGCTGGAACCCACGAGCAGGATCTTCGGTCGTCACGCGGCACTGGATGGCGCAGCCATTGATCCGCACATTCTCCTGCTTCAGGCCCAGCTCTGGCAGACTCTTCCCCTCGGCGATGTGGATTTGGGCATGGACAAGATCCACACTGCAAAGCACAAGAGAGAGCAGTTGGGAACAAATCTATAGCTGCAGAGAGAGCCACATGGTGCCAGATACAGAAGGCTGGCTGGAGAACAAAGAATGCCATCTTACAAGGCAAGAGCTATGGCCACAGCCTTGGCTTAAGTGGGCACAGGGAGCCCAACAAGCTTGGCTTTAGGAGGACTATATCCTTCTCCAGTGTGGCAAAACCGGGCATCTCAAGATGCCTTCACCATGTGAGACAGACAGATTCTTAAACGTTGGTAGGTGATCAAGCCCTGGGGTGACAGCAGTTGAGGGCCAAAGCTGAAGGAGGGCAAATTCCCCATCTTTGTTCCGTTGGTGGGAACATCTGGAAGTCTGCAAGCACATCCTGGGCACTCTCACAGACGGAGTTTCTGATGGGCTGCCTTGTCATCTCAGCTTCCCCAAGGGGAGGGAGGGGAGGAACCAGGCTGCAGCTTCCCAGCCTTTCTTCTCCCACAAATAGTTCTGGACTCTGGATGGGGTTAGTGGCTTCCTGGGAACTGAGGCAGCTGATACTTTGTTCTGGAACATACTGGTTCCCCATTTTGCCAACCGGAATAAAATGTAAAAGAAGTTGGAGGGAAACCGGAGAGGCTCAGAAAACAGGGAGACATCTTGCTGCTTGTGGGTGGATGAACAGATCAGCCCTTTAAGGGCAGAACCTCATTCTGAAGGCAAATGTTAAAAACAAGCAGGCACACACACGCGAGCTGGGAGTCTGCAGGCTGAAGGCTGGGGACCAAGGCTGAAAACTAGTGGAGCCGTCTGACTGACACCATCCAGGCCCTGGTTTTTGTGCAGATGGATCCCCAGCTTCTGGTTTTGGAGTGGGAAGAGATCATCTCTCCAGGGTGCAAACTCCCTTTTCCTTCCTGGTAGCAGCTGAAGGATTCAAGGGCCTATCAGCCCAATTCACTCCAGGGAGATGCACAGCTCCCTGAAGCAGGTTTAACACCAGAACATTTCTCATCTGAGACCTGCTTTCCTAGGGGCTCTGGCTCTGTCCTCTGCCTGTCCACTGGATGCAAAGGAAGCTTCAGACGACTGCAGACGATCCCCTTCCTCTCCCCTCCCTTCTCTTCTCTAGGTTAAGAGACCGGCTCCTGCGCTTGGTCTGGAAGGGCAGATTCTGGAGGGGCAGAGCTAGATGTGTAGCAAATCACCCCCAGGCTGGGGTCAGCGAGGAACGTGGCCCAGAGGTCCCGACTCCCTGGCACCCCTTTCTGCTCAGCACCCCAATGCCCACTTTCCAAGCGGCCTCAGCCTGACAAACAGCAGTACTTCCCCACCACCAGCTGCCCCACAGGCAAATGGGGCCTGACTTCACAAAGAGGGGCTTGATTACAGAGCACACCGCTATTTTTAACAAAATTGATGTAAAAAATCTCCCTCCCTTTCTCCTACTGCTATCACATATAAAAACATCTAACTGCAGATTGATTTTTTTAAATGGCTTCACATTTCTGCAGGGCTACGAAAGCCACGGCTGCCTCCTTGGCCTCCGGTCCGTCTAGGGGGAAGGGGCTCCCTCATCCCTAGAATCCACACAAGAGAAACCCCTTCCTTAAATGGCCGCTCCCCAGAAAGTGGGGCTGGCACTGCCCTCCTTTGCCAGATGGCCATGGGCAGGTTCCACCAAAAGAAAGCCAGTTAAGCTGCAAGGAAAACAATTCTGTTTCTATCTACTCATCCTGCTACCCTCTAATTTGCACTCTGGAGACCCAAGTTCCAGTTCCCACACAACCATGGAGACAGTCTCGCAGAGCTGCTAAGAAGAACACGTGAGACAAAAGAACCCCTATCATCACTTGAACAAATTTAGCAACTGGGCAGGACAACAGTAACAAATCAAGAAGGACATCTGATCCATTTGCGTTCAAGAACGAGGTAGTCCTGGACCACCTCTGCTTCCCAATTTAGGCTTGTGCCGTGAATTTTCAGAACAATGTTTGAGTTCAGTCGATAGCACTTTGGCGATTCCTGAATGCTGGTGCAAAATCTCAATTCCAGTTTGAAAAAAAAAAGACTTATCAGTCAATTAAGGCCTGGAATATACAAAAGTCTCAGATTATCTTCATTCTGGACTCAAGTGGGGAATTTAAATATTAAATATTTAAATATTTAAACCTATTCCAACTCACATTAAGATGATATGACTGCAGAGAAATAAATCTGGAATATTTGATTCACTAGATACTCGAGCATCAAAATTGTACATAGGAAACCGTTTAAACATTATTTTAACAGATAAAAGAAAATCAGTGTTTTCGTATTAAAGGAAACTCATTTGTGATGGGGAGTGTAGCTCCTTTTGTGATTTAGACCTATTTGTATCTGACTGGGACTACTTGTGGGAATTCCAAATTTTAAGGATTTGTTTTTTCAAAGTGATACGCATATTTTATATATTCACTTTTGTTAAATTTTGATCTGAGAGCTAAATTTTCAATATGGGACTCAGTGAATAATGCTTTGTATTTCAGTGCAAATCTTGCTCCATAGAACCCCTACTCAGTGCAGGAATCCAAAACCGAGCATTTGGCAAAATGCCTTATCTGCTTGTTTCTTTCACTGCAAGGGGATCTCCTAAAACAAAAATCTTATTTTCCATGCACGGTGGTCCTGCATGAGAAATCTCACAACCAATTCTATTAAGCCATCAGTTCTCTTCATGAAGGAGAATATATTTTGTTGCCTATCAATTCCAGTGCAGATGTGGCAAAATTCATCTAGCCTCTGTGGAAAATGTGGGCCTATCCAAAACAGTGGCTCATGCATACAGAGAGGCTGTACTTTAACATATGCATAGGTTGGGCATTCCTAATTTAATACAAGGGCATTAATGGAAAGTAGCCTTTCAATAATTAATTTGTGAAATTTGTGTCCCACATTCCCACCTGATGGTAGGAGCATACTGTTAAACCAATGAATTAACATTTTGCTCTTATACTTTTTGAGTACCATCTCAGGTTTATTTTGTTCTAATTGTTTGATGTTTATTTTGTATATAGCACTTACCTGTATACCATCCAGAGAATCTCCAGCGTTGTATTAAAATACATTAAATAAATACAAACACAATAGCATCTAATAATACAATACATTTAAGTAAAAAGTAAAACTCAGTAACAAGGGAAACCCTGTATTCAATATTCTCCTGCAGATATTCAAGACAAGGGAAGCTTCTGCTTGGATGAGGCACACTGCTATCCTTCCTCTGGGCTCTGCAGCTGGACCTCATCCCCTACCCCGCCAGCCCTAGCTCACACCCAACTGGGCAGGGGTTCAGAGCTCTTGATGCACAAAGCCTATGGTGCAGAAATGCAGCCTCGCTCTGTTGGCTCTTACAGAGAGAAGCACTGAAAGGTTATCTTTTCTCCTGTCATCTCCCTTCACTTTGACCCTCTTCTGAGAAATTAGAAAAGAGCAGATGGATTCAGCCCAGGAGTGTAGCTGGAAGGAGAGGGGAGTTGGAAGGGTCATAAACCGGTACAACAAAGGGGAGGTGGGATCTTGATAACAGGAGAGGCTGAGAAATGAATTCCCTGGATTCTAAGCCCACGAGGGTTGGGGCTGCCTCATCTCCTGACAAGACAGATTTCGAGTATTTAGCGAGTCAGCGTGCAAAACCTCAACTTTCCCTGTTGATGCTGGGGGCAGGGGAGCGGGTGCATTACCAAGGCATTAAGGTGCTAAGAAGGCAGTTTCTCCACAATAATAATATAAGCCTTGTGTGCATCAGCACAACTCTTCTTGGACAGCTTCCCTAGCTCCAAGCTGCAGGTGTTCAACTTCTGAAGTCTCTGAGATGAAGGTAGGTAGGAGAAGGAAAGAATGAGAGAGAATAATGGCATCTCTTCCCATCTGTACACGCTCAAGTCTTCTACTGATACTCAAGCAGACTTGGATTAATGCTACCATCGTTTCTGGAGGCAAATGTGTAGTTCACATTGTGCTGGGAAAGTAATACACTTGTTTGGATTCCCATCACACCGAAAGGTATGGTAGACTCTGTCCCACCTGCTGGACTAACCGAGTCACCATCTGGATTAACTGATTCATCTGGATAATTTTTGCATCTGAAATTGGAGCAAGGCATCAGTGACTTGATCAACAGTTAGCAGGGATGCTAGAGGGTCTGTAGCCATTGTAGCAATGGGAGTAAGAGTGAATGATCAAATTCTCCAGACATACTCTTAATTCACCTTTCAGCTAAACTTGGCAGAAGATTCCTAGACGTGACTCGGCCAGATGAAAATCTTCCCTGCAGACAAGAATGAAGCCTCAACCAGAAGTGACTGCCTACTGCAGTGCAAAGAAATCAGGGATCCAACCACCTGACTGGGTTTAGCTGTTCATACGGATATATCTTTCAAATCCCCTCCCTGCAACCCCATTAAGCAAGGGCCACAGAGTGAAGTTTGAATTAAAAAAGGGTTCTTGGCTGAGTCGATTTCTTCCTCACGGCGGGGCAAGAGAAATCCACATGAGTTTCCTCCCTACTGTCTGACTGCCACACAAAATGATGGATCGGTTCCCATGATGGGACTTGTTGATCCCACATTTCATGGCTTCCCACTGGATTCCTGATACTGACATTGCCTCCTTTTCCCCTCCAAAGTAGTTCTCAGGTGGCTGATGGCAAAACCTTGGCACTCAGCCATTTTATGGGTTCTCAGCCCACTGCATGATCACTTCTTTTTTGGGGACCTCTTCCTATTAGCCGAAGGTGGCAAGTTTCAATCTCAGAAATCATAAAGAACGGTGAGTGCAAAATCCTCCTGGTGACAGACATTTGCACACAGCCCTGCCACGTGGCATACAACCTAAGAGCAAAAAAGGACTCACTAACAGAGACACCAGCTCTAGAAAGGCAAAACAAAACTGAGAGGAACACAACCCTGGCCTCAGATGTTCCAGCAGCGTGAACTGGAAAAAGGCAATTCCAACAGATACCATTCCTACAACCCTTTCAGCCATGGGAGAAGGAACAAGCGTTTCCTGTCTTCTGCATGAGAGCCCCGATAGTATTTGAAGAGGGTGACGTCTTCCCCCAGTTTACTGTTTTCAGGGCTAGACAAGACGCCCATTGCTTCAACCTTCCTCCACAAAGGAGTTGTTTTTTATGTTTCTGTCCATCCTTTCACCTGCCACGCATCCGCTACCTGTAAACTTTTATCCTTATAAACCGTCATTCTTTCCACCACCTCTATAAAAATGTTCAGTAAAATTTCTTTTTTCCGTTCAGATGTGTTTAATGACCCACTGAAGAACACCCTGCCCCCCTGCCCAGCACTTAACAAACTTTGCCCATGGTTACCTCTTTCAGTCAGAATTCTGCCAAACACCTTCTTGGCAGACTTATAACAAACAGATCACCTATCTTGAGCTTCTTTCTCACTGGCTTTCCCTGCTATGGGGTCCTATTTATCACTGCTTATTAAAAACTGAAGTCCATGGTGGTTTTAGTCTCCCTGATGCTGTTGTGTCTCCCTTCAACCATCTGAAGAAAAAAATTGTCAGTGACTTCATGCTTCACTGAAAGGTCTGCAGTTAGGAAGTACTGGCTGGGGCACCAGCAACTGTGTTGCTTATTTTAGCCCAGATGGCACTGCCAAGCTCATTTGTTTGGATTTTGGGCAGGAATGGATACTTTCACTGTATGGTGAAAGACCTTCTCCCTTTCTGTTGTGTCTGTTTCTCTTGAGCAAATTGTCTTTCAGCTGTTAAGTTCCGATCCTGGTAATCATTTCATCAGGTCTCCATTTTTACCTCTGAAGGTAAAATATTTTATGAATATTTGCCCTTCTCCACTAAGAGCTGAAGCTCAATTTTATTCCCATGATCTGTGCATTAAATGTATTGACAATGAGGTTCGTGAACTTTATGAACCTTTTGATTTGCTTTTGAGTGGTTTAAGAGGCCCCATTTCAGCAACACTCCAACTTCTACAGTGCAGAAATCTTTATCTGATGTCCTCACTTCAGGGTTTTATTCTCCAAATTCCCATAGGATTCCACTTAAGCTCTCCTAATGAAACCTTTTTACCAGTCCTTGTGAGGTGGAGCCCATCTCATGCTAGCAGTCATCATCCAGATTACTCAGAACATGACCCCAGAAACCGAATCCCTGCTGTGGATGCCAGTCATTGATCCGCAGATTTCTTCTTTGCCTTTCCAGTCCTCTTCTGTGGATTGTGAAAATGGGTGAGACTCTGTCAGGCCTAGCCCAAGGAACTCCAAGAGACAATGCCAATTCAGTCCAGCTACGCTACAACCTCTAGCAAGAATCTTCCCAGACTAAAACCCCAGTTTCCAAAGTCCTCCAGCCACAACAGTGTGAATTCCTCAGGGAGGTGCCA